AGACATCCTCGGCAAACTCTGCGGAGCAAGCGTTTCGCTCGAGACATCCTCAACACACGAAAAAGTGGCCCGCACCCTGTGATTTATCGATCGGGATTTCAAAAACAAGCGTTTCGCTCGAGACATCCTCAAATTTTAATTCGCCGGCCTCCTTCGACCTCGTTATTTATCAGGGAAAAAATTCGCCGGCCTCCCTCAAGTTGGCACCGGGGGACAGGTTTACCTACTAAAAGAGAACCCTGGGCCCCGCCCTTTCCGGGAACAAGCGTTTCGCCTGAGACTTCCTCAAATTTTAATCCGCCGGCCTCCTTCGACCTCGATATTTATCAGGGAAAAAATCCGCCGGCCTCCTTCAAGTTGGCACCGGGGGACAGGTTTACCAACTAAAAGAGAACCCTGGGCCCGAGCCCTTTCCGGGAAAAGGGAACCCTGGGCCTGCGCCCTTTCCGGGAAATAGTCAGGTGCTCATTCTTGGGTTATTGTTTGAACTATTGTGGGGTACTGTTTGCATGTTTTTAATTTTTCATCAGAAATCCGCCTGTAGGGGGACACGTTCGACCTGAGGCTAGGATCCTGGGCGGCGGGTTTCTCTGGAGCGCTGATGACGTCCTCGCGCCGCGCGATCGAGTCGACCCCCCCGGAGAAAGGCACGCCTGGGCTCCCACGTCCGGCCTGAGCCGCCCGATCCGACCTATCCTTAGGTCGGGCCTGTCCCCCTGCAGGGGGACTTTGGAGGAAACATGATGGACCCACGAACCCGGAAAGGGATAAAGACATGTGCAGCATGGTCACGTTTTCACGATACCCAACTGGGCGACATCTCACGAAACATCCCACGAGACACCCCGCGAAACATCCCACGAGACACCTCACGAAACATTCCACGAGACACCCCGACACCTTTGAAACATTCCACGAGACACCCCACGAACAGGCAACCATCAACCAGACACGCCACGAAACATTCCACGGGGGTGCGACTGGGTGTGGTCGTGTGGGGTGTGGTCGTGCTGGGGTGTGGTCGTGCTGGGGAGTGGTCGTGCTGGGGTGTGGTCGTGCTGGGGGGTGGTCGTGCTGGGGGGGTGGTCGTGCTGGGGGGGGTGGTCGTGCTGGGGGGGTGGTCGTGCTGGGGGCGTGGTCGTGCCCCCCGCGAAACATCCCACGAGACACCTCACGAAACATTCCACGAGACACCTCACGAAACATTCCACGAGACACCCCGTGAAACATTCCACGAGACACCCCACGAACAGGCAACCACTCAACCAGACACCCCACGAAACATTCCACGGGGGTGCGACTGGGTGTGGTCGTGTGCTGGGGTGTGGTCG